CGGGTTGAAATGGCTAGAAAGACTTTGATATTGTATGCTTGTAATTAGTTTTTGTAGTGTTGTGTTTGTTTTAAATGTGGTGAATTATAGATATGTTTTTTGTTGACTTTGTACCGCGCTTCGAGCCTTTGGGGATGAAGCGTGTTTTTTTAAATGAACTTTATTATTATTATTATTATTAGTATTTGTATCTTTCGAGGATAATCATTTTTCACTTGCTGAGCTGTAAGTTAGTATATCTAGTTTTTACTTTGGTATATTCTATTTTGTATTTCTATAACATAATAGTTCGTATCACTAGCTTTTGTGTCGGTTGTCTTTGAACATTTTATTCTCAGTCCGCTGTCACGTAGCGGTCAACCAAACCAACGAGCCGAATCTTAAAACAGAATAAATTTGCGACACTACACAAACGGTACGCAGCAAATATGAAGAAATCGTCGTACGAGAAATATGTCGTTTTGTGATGAGTACAAACTGGACAAGACAGTGGCAATAGACGGGATCTCTTCTTCTTTTTCTTCTATAATTTAAGGGCCCACGATCAATGTATCGATCAATCTGGCTCCTATGTTTATTAGAGGGGCTTCAAGATGTGTCTGTGCATGGTGAAGATATTTCACCGGGGTGCAAGGGCCACTCAGATGCAAGAGGCGATAGACGCAAACGTGATGAGTGCTGGCGCCTCAACTGTTTCTTTTTTTGGGAGGCTTGTCCCAGTCCCCTGATTAACTTTAGCAAGAATGAGCACTTCCTGTACTGTGTTCTTGCTGGTATGAGCAGGAATTTTTTTTTCGGTCATGTTGGCATTCGTACATATCTATGAGACGATGGTTAGCTGTACTTGAGACTTGAGACACTGCCTCTTGCAAAACTTCAAAGGCTGTGCGCGTTTTTTGTTGTTTTTTTGACATGGAGAATCCGTTGTTTCCAACTCATCCGATACGGAGACTTTGGGTTCAGTTAATGAAACAACAGGAACCTCTTATTTAAGATACATATCGGCATCAAAGGCGCCAGTATAGTAGTCCAAGTATTTCTTGAATACCATTTACTATCCCTTATGAGACTCAGTGTCTGTTTTTTTCCTGACGCGTTGACTGTCGTAAGGTGTCGTTCCAAAATTACGTCACGCTCAGGGGCTCGGGGGGGGGGGAGGTCGAGAATTTGTGACACTTTGTGACAGGGGGAGGGGGTGGTCAAAAGGTTTTTGACTTCCTGATTATTAAATAATTCTTTTAAATTTTCTTTTAAATTTAAAATCTGAAATTTCAAATTTTGAAAAATCTTTATTCAATAAATTTTAAAAACATTAATTTGATGTCAAAATTGTCTCGGGTATTATAAGTCCCGTGAACCTCATTTGTGCAGACCTTATGCGCATATTGAAAAATGACGCAAAAACTGTTGTGGCCATTATACATTCGGCTGGATGACTTCATTTTTTCGCGTCACAGTTTTCTAAGAATACTACAACTTAATCCATTATGGGAAAATGTTAAAGAATAAAATAAAATCTTAGACGTAAACATTAGCGGCACTTTAAATAGGGATTGTTTGCGACTGTATCAGATCGCTACTATTTACACAATTATGGTTCTGCATTACCAACTAACTGACTTTTTTAAATATTTCTGACACTTGGGGGAGGGTGTTTGGATTTGCTTTGCTTTGTTAGTGTTGTAGCGTTGCAGTTTGAAATCGTGCCCACTGCATCACTTGTCTAAAAATAGCACCAGTAGTAATTACATTGATTATTTTCTAATTTCGTAAATTTCAGATGATATATTTGCTGGCCGTTCAAACGTTGGGATTCCTGGTGTCAGCCTACGCCCAGTCAGGGGTCACTCTTACGGCGACCCCGAATTATGTCGATCCCGCAACAGGAAGTGTTAGTTTGACATGCGCAGTGGCTGGGACCGGAAAGTTGTATGCTACCAGTGGAATAGTCATTGAAAAAGAAATTGATGTAGGCGACGCCACAGATACTGCCATTCCATGCATTACCTCTTAAACATATATTCACTCTTATAATATACCATAAAAACATGTTTAAACATCATATTGATATTAGTTTTGAACATTTTAAAATTGTATTTGCTTTTTTTAGTTACATATATTTTAATTAATTGATGTATTTAAAACACAGTGAGGCCAAGACTGTTCAAAAATGCGATTCATAGAGATTTCTTGAAATAACGAACATACAATTGCGTGTACTGGTAACCGTGGTTGTACGGCAACGACTTAAAAAAAAAAAATAGATTGGAACAATCATCAGCCAAAAATTGTCGTAACATAAAATCTTTAGTTTAAATTAAATAATTTTTGAAACAATTATATATTTTTAAAATCCATCTTAAAATTAATTTCCCCCATCACTTATGACGGATTATTATTGCTAGTGTCATTCTAATTTTTTACCCATGAATAAGAGGAAATAATAACTTACGATAGAGCGGAAATCGGGTCTGTCTTAACATAATTATTTGGCTGACATAGATACATTTTTAAAAATAGTTTGATGTCTCTCCTACGTTAATTACTGTTAGCTAACTGTGGTTATATCTGCGATGTTGCTTCGTAAATCTGTAAGAGATGTACCTAATATTATTATTGGTGGGTAGCGCTAGTACATCCATTTACTTTATACAAACTCTCCGAATTCATGGTGTTATATTCTCATCTGTTTAAGATATATTTTCTGAAGCCATTAAATTTTAATCACTCTCAACCGAAAATGCATCGTTAATTTCTGAGCACATAAGTAACAATAGAATTGAGGCGGCACTTGGGTGTCACGGTAAAGAATGAGAGCGTCTAACATTGAATACAACTGGGACAACCATCACGCCCTTAGCTAAAGTGGGCATTCGCCTTTTGGTTTGCAGGCAGGCATCTGGCAGAGCTACGCCAGGTACACGAAGGCGTCTGCGTCAGCCAGCATCTACCAGACTGGAGTCACCGGGAACGGACAGATTGGAGCCGGAGGCGCGAGATCTTACCTCCAGCTGACCATCCCGTCGTCTGCTGGGCCTGTTGGGCATTTCCGTTGCACTGCCACGGGGACAAGCAGTTCTGGGGTAAGTGCAACGGATGAACAACACGAACCTAATTAAGTACTATGCCAACACACCCCTCCCTTGATTAAGAAAAGTTTTTTTTTTTTTTACGTTTGAATGCGTTCTATTTCTTCTAAAAACTGCTATCAGGTGACGCAAATTCTGTAATTTCTTTCTGGAGGGTTCTAGCTTACACCCTATCTATAAGCTGGCAGCTTCCCTAGCGATAAGGTTTGCAGTGTGACAGACCCCAGGAGGCGTTAGCACCAACGGGGATGGCGGTAGTGCCAAATGACATCGTATCGCCTATCGGTGAAGTTCGCGGCTTTCTGCTGGGGTTATAGAATTTTGAAGTTATAAAATCTGCGTCATTCCCGAGCAATCTCACCGCGACGTGTCAACAATGAAAGAGGTTTCAGTAGTTCCACCGGCCCCCCTCACTCTTTGATTTAGTTGTACTGCTACAATGCTGCTAATTTTTTGGTATTCCTCCTGGCTTTCTCACTCGAGAGGCAAGGCTTTAAATCGTCAAGCCTTATTTTCTCACAGAATGTTCGGACAGTGATTGCTCCAGGATATCTTTGTTTCACGATAAACTTAACTGTGCATGACGTAGAAGAAAGAAGCTCTTTGCAGGCAGGACTATGCACTTAATGTTTTTTATGGCCAAAGTTTTTACTTTTTGAATTAACTTTTTAGTTATTTTAATCGAGACTTTCATTAAAATAAAAAGGAATCGAAACTCCACACAACTGCAGTCCTTCGATATATTTTCCAGATGCTACTTTAAAAAAACAACAAAAAAAAACTTTCCTATTCAGTTTTCGATTGCATGCTTAAGTACGAGACCATCGTATCTATCTTTGTCCCACCACCAGGCGGCAGTAACGGAGGTCGTGAACTCGGAGGTCTTCGCTAACCAGTACCAGGACGGCTGCTCGTGCTGTGACAAGATGGCGGCATTGGAGGCCTCGGTCCTGAACATGGCAAACACTGTGAAAGAGCTACAGAGTAGAGTGAGTGCTCTCGACGCGTCATTGTCCAATGGCGGGGGTGGATCTGGGCTGCCAGGGGACGCGCTGAAGGGAATGGACGGTGACCTAGTTTTGAGGTAATTCATTAAAAGTATTACCATTCTTCGGGTATTGAAATGTACTCACACGGCTAAGAAAGGAAAATTCCATTTTTAAAAAAAATCAAAAACGTTGACTAAATCAATGGCATCTTTTCTGCAGGAGTCTAGTTTGGCCTGAGGGCACATACGGGCTTCTTATGCCAGAGACAGGATGCCCGAGCCAGGGGTTCTCATTCGTCGACTGGAGGAGCGACGGTTACAGGCAGTTCCACACGGAGTCAACATCCACGGTGAATTTGAACCAGTTCTCTCCGAACGTCCACCTGAAACAGCCTTACCAGACCACCAACGGGGCCCAGCAGCTGGTCTTCCTGTACTTCTGCGTGAACAACGAGGGCGTTAACAATGCCGAGGGCCCTACCTGGCCCTCCGGGTCCTACTGCATCCACAAAAGGAACACCTGCCCCGAAGGCTTCCACGAGGGCAGCATATTCTGGGACCAGGAGAACACGTTGCCCAACAACAAGTATTCGGAGATGATTCCGAACGGGGCGTACGGCAGCGACACGAGGATGGACTACTGCTGCCGGCGGGACGGTCGACCGGACGACGCCGTCTACCTGCCCACGGCGAAGCCGTTCTACCTGTACAGGTTCGACGGCAAGTGCCAGCAGGTGGCCGGCATGAACGTCGTCAACGAGTTTATCGTGTTTGACACGGAGAACACGGGCGGCAACATCGACAAGTACACCGGAGAGTACCACCCCGACGGCAGGCTCAACGACATCAGGGTCGAGCTCTGCTACTACTCCAGGTAAGCTGGAGGAGGCTCTGACACGGCGCAGTGGAATATCACCGGCCAGGAATCCACATCCAGGTTTTTAGTATTACAAATGTTTGATCATTTAATGAAGAAATAAATGACGTTAAAACATTTTCAAAGATTGTGTAAAATTTCTTTTTTTTTAATGCTAAATTTGTACTGAAATTTATCATGGTTCGGTTGCAAAAATTTTGAATAAATAGTTTCATGAGCATCTCATAGTGAAGTCTCAAACTGAGCACAATTTAACATAAATTTTGCAGACTTATATGTTCAAATAATTGTTTTAAAGAGTTGATAACTTCAAATAAGGCGCTGGGGAAAATAATTAGTTAAATAAATTTGGTGAAATTTGAATAATTGTGTAGAGGTAATAGGTAATTATTTTTTATTTTTTTGCGTTGAAAAACTATAGGGTTTTCTCGGACTGCCGGCTATGTAGAAGTAGAAGAAATGTCATATTAAGGGGGCAAGGTCTTCTACAGGGAACAAGCTATCATTAAGAAAATCAGGTCATATCATGGTATCCCTGTCACGTCCAGGTCTTCAGGTCGGGTCAAGTTAACCAGGTCATATCCAGGTATCTCGGTCACATCAAAGGATCCTTGCGCAGAAGCGGATAAGGCAAGTCATCTTGCTGAAGAGTTGACCGTTCAAATCATCTGACGCTAGCCCCATCAAACCAACTCCACTTACTTGCCTGCCTTTGCGGCTGGACCACTATAAAGCTTCTTCATTACTCGATAAAAGACATTTATTGAACACTTTTGGTTAATGAAGAGCAACAAGGAGTTTAAAAAAAAAAATGGGTCGTGTTTTTTTATGTATTACGTCATTAAGGATCCATCTTTCTTTCACAAAGAAATAAATTTCATCTGTTTACGTCTACGTTCGCTATAGATGAAAAAAAAGTGTGTTGTGTGTTGAGCCTTCTCGTCCATGAGGGGCATCCACCGATCATCGTCGGCGTCTGCGGTTCCTCCAAGGGCATAGGTGCCACCTACGAGAGACCTCCAGGCATCTCTATCCTGGGCCAGCTTCTCCAGGATCTTCCAAAGCAAGCCCTGAAATGGAACCCACAGGGTAAGCGGAAAAGAGGCCGTCCAAGAAACACTTGGCGCCGAGAATTGGAGACAGACATCAAGAAAATTGGCCATGAATGGAAAAAAAAGTGCTCTTTAAAAAAATCGTTCATATAAACGTCGCCTTTGTTTGTATGTTTGATGCCAAATCTTCGAACGGCTAACTGACCCACTTCCCGTCACCCTATTGAACTGAACTTGGCATACAGACTTGTGGCCGATCACAAAACATTCTATCACATTGTCTGCCCCAACCCCCCCCAAAACATCAATGTCTATTGTTTTCCATGGGGAAGATGAACCAAACATGATTTGTTCAATTGTTGCATGTTTTGGTGTGGAGATTAACTGTGTTGCCGATTCGATGTGCGTTGAATTAGTAACGTATTTTTATGTTTAGATACATAATTACTCTGTTAGGTTTTACATGCACTAATTCTGATATAATAATTCCCATACCAAAAATCAGTTGCTACAATCACATAAATGATAAATCACGTACAGTGACATAAATGATAAATCACGTACAGTGACATAAATGATAAATCAAGTACAGTGACATAAATGATAAATCACGTACAGTTACATAAATGATAAATCACGTACAGTTACATAAATGATAAATCACGTACAGTTACATAAATGCAAACAACAAATAATAATGGATTTTTTTTTTTTTACGATAAGCTTTCCTTTAGCGGTTGTTTCATTAATTGTATACTAAAAACTGCAAATTTTTTATTTTTTTTTACCCTAACATAGATTGAAAAAATAATATCTTTTATAATAGGGGATGGTATTATGATGTCAGGTGAAGAGATAAGGGATGATGTCACGTGAAGAGATAGGGGATGTTATCATGATGTCAGGTCAAAAGATAGATGATGGGTTCATGATGTCAGGTGCAGAGATAAGGGATGGTATCATGATGTCACGTGAAGAGATGGGGATGGTATCATGATGTCAGATGAAGAGATAGGGGATGGTATCATGATTTTAGGTGAAGAGATAATATGTGGTATCATAATGTCAGGTGAAGAGATCGGGGATGGTATCGTGCTGTCAGGTGAAGAGATATAAGATGTTATGATGTCAGGTGAAGAAATAAGGGATCATGGTATCATGATAGACGCGGTAAATTATAGGAAATGTTTGCTAAATATTAAAGACTATCTTAAATTCTAACTAAAAATGTTTTGTTTAGAAACTAGTTCAATGTTTATAGATGATTTCTAAAATAAAAAAAAAAAAAATGAAACATTCTTATATGCGTACATCAAAAGTTAAAAAAAAACAAAAAAAATGCCAAAATATAAAGAGATGTAGACTGTAAATTATAGGAAATGTTTGCTAAATATTAAAGACTATCTTAAATTCTAACTAAAAATGTTTTGTTTAGAAACTAGTTCAATGTTTATAGATGATTTCTAAAATAAAAAAAAAAAATGAAACATTCTTATATTCGTACATCAAAAGTTAAAAAAAAACAAAACAAATGCCACAATATAAAGAGATTTAGACGTCCAGCCTGGCGGCACACCAAATCCAGGCGCCGTGTTTCCAGGTTTCTGCGTGGTGCTGCTGTCCAGCACTGGTGTGTGGTGCATCAAGGAGTTGTCAGTGTTGTAATCGTCTTGACAGAAGCCTGGGAGGATCGGCTGGGCGGGGATACCTTGTCTGAAAAGTTACGACCAATGAGGGGGGAGAAAAATATGATAAAAAATATAAAAATACTTGAAAATGTTGGTGCTGATACCGTGGCGTAACTATGGGTGGTGCCAACGAGCCTGGGCAAATATTTCTGCACATATCTTCCACTAAAAAAAAACAACAACCCCCCCGTTTGTCGAAAAAGCCGGCCCTTCATTTCAAGAAAAAAGTGCACCCCCCCCCCCCGGGGAGTAACGAATTCTCCACTGCCCACCATTTTCTACGTCACTGTGCTGATATGTGTTTAATGAGAATACTAGTTGGGGTCCCTTACCGGGTTGTAAAAAAGGTGCAGTAATTAAAGCAACTACACACCTGAGCATTCTGCACCTGTGTTGGTCCAGCCTGAAAGTGGCATCATCCGTGTTGTTGACATGACCCGGGCTCCACAGTCTCTCAGCCACAGCTGACGCTCTTGGCCTTTTGTCACGTGGTAATTATAAAAACAACCCATTACTGTGACGTAGGTGGGTTTAAATGATAATTTCTGCTCACCATTTGCTAAACTATATAATTACAGGCTAATGTATGACGACATTCAACTAACTAATAACAGGCTAGTGTATCACGACATTCAACTGTCTAATGACAGGCTAATGTATCACGACATTCAACTAACTAACTACAGGCTAGTTTATCACGACATTCAACTAACTAATGACAGGCTAGTGTATCACGACATTAAACTAACTAATTACAGGCTAGTGTATTACGACATTCAACTAACTAATGACAGGCTAGTGTATCACGACATTAAACTAACTAATTACAGGCTAGTGTATCACGACATTCAACTAACTACAGGCTAGTGTATCACGACATTCAACTATCTAATGACCGGCTAGTGTATCACGACATTCAACTTACTAATTACAGGCTAGTGTATAACGACATTCAACTTACTAATTACAGGCTAGTGTATAACGACATTCAACTAACTAATGACAGGCTAGTGTATCACGACATTCAACTTACTAATGACAGGCTAGTGTATCACGACATTCAACTAACTAATTACAGGCTAGTGTATAACGACATTCAACTAACTAACTACAGGCTAGTGTATCACGACATTCAACTGTCTAATGACAGGCTTATGTATCAAGACATTCAACTATCTAATAACTGACTAGTGTGTCACGACATTCAACAAACTAATTACAGGCTAGTGTATCACGACATTCAACCAATTAATTACAGGCTAGTGTATCACAATATTCAACTAACTAATTACAGGCTAGTGTATCACGACATTCAACTAACTAATTACAGGCTAGTGTATCACGACATTCAACTAACTAATTACAGGCTAGTGTATCACGACATTCAACTAACTAATGACAGGCTAGTGTATCACAACATTCAACTAACTAACTACAGGCTAGTGTATCACGACATTCAACTAACTAACTACAGGCTAGTGTATCACGACATTCAACTAACTAAGTACAGGCTAGTGTATCACGACATTCAACTAACTAACTACAGGCTAGTGTATAACGACATTCAACTAACTAATTACAAGCTAGTGTCTCACGACATTCAACTGTCTAATGAAGGCTTGTGTATCAAGACATTCAACTATCTAACAACTGGCTTGTGTATAACAACATTCAACTAACTAATAACAGGCTAGTGTATCATGACATTCAACTAACTAATGACAGGCTAGGGTATCACGACATTCAACTAACTAATTACAGGCTAGTGTATCACGACATTCAACTGACTAATTACAGGCTAGTGTATCACGACATTTAACTAACTAATTACAGGCTAGTGTATCACGACATTAAACTAACTAATTACAGGCTAGTGTATCACGACATTCAACTATCTAACAACTGTCTAGTGTATTACGATTTGCTAACTTACCAAATGACAGACAGGAAGTTGGATTCGTCAATAAACTCACTCCAAGTACAGGCCTCGCCTCCTTTTATCAAGCTTAATTCTTTCTGTGAGGCTGTGAATAGACATGCACAGGTGAGTCTATAGGAGCATTATGGTGAGTCTAAAAAATCCTGCAGGGGAATCTCAAGAGGCAAAGAAGTGAGTCTTTAGAAGCATAATGGTGAGTCTATAAAAGTCTACGGGTTAGACTATAGAAGCCTGCAGGTGAGTCTATAGAAACTTATACTATTGAATTATATCTTGATATAAGGAGGTTACAAACAAGATTGTTAAAAAAGTTGACTTAAGATCTGACTTTTATTGAATTCAAGCTTTAGCGTTAAAATTTAGAGTGTCAAACTTGCTGTCGATTTAAAGCTGTTAATGAAAGAACTATGTATGACCAAGGGTCATTTTAATGGGATACTACTCACAATACAATCTGAGACTAAATAAATGCGATTGTCTCCCTTTATAATATTCGAAGACTTGCACCTAGAGTAGCCTCGACCTGACGAATATTTCACTTCTTAAAAAGATCTATCAACCCTAGACCATTCCATTATTTCATTTTTCAATGGACTGAACAATTTAACCGTTCTGGTGTGCCCTGCTTTCCAATTAATCAAACTTAGTATCAACCCTCAGAGAACAAGTAACTCTCTCTTAACATGGTAAATTGCTAACAAAGGAAGACAATTTGAGTTCAGACAAACTAAAGACGGTACCTGACATGTTCTTCAAACTCCAATACTGCCGCCCACCCTCCCTGACGGAATTCACCACCTTTTCAATCACACCAGTGGTTCATTATTATTGTCTTTATAGACCGAGCCTTATACCACGGGCCTATGATAACTGCCTACATATAAGTTAACACTGCGGTGAGTACTCTTGTCTAGGTTGAAACAAGCAGACCGTAACCTTAACCCCAACCATAATCAGCTTACATGAATCTTATGTGGGTCAAATAGATAGTAGCTTTTCCAGTCTTGGCAATACGAGACTTTGCTGATGTACCTACAATCAAACATGTTAGGTGGGTCACAGAGGTTGTAATTCTTTCAGTCTTGGCCATACAAGACGTTGCTGGTGTACCTACCATCAATGTTATGTGGTTCACAGAGGTAGTAGTTCTTCCAGTCTTGGCCGTACGAGATTTTGCTGATGTACCAGCACGAGGAGAAGATGACGTTGTAACCCTTAGCAACTGCTTCTTTCAGGTACACCTGCCAGGTGCTTGTGTTGCCGAGAGCTTGGCCTTTATCCTTCCACACCTGAATCCAGGCATCCAGTGAAACCTGCGGTGGATTAACAGGTCGTTAGTGTATTCCGAGGTCAGCTTATAGCTTGGTTAGTATATGTAGTGTTCAATTTTTGTTTTTTGTATTGGTCAGCAATGAAAAAGTTACTGTAAATCATTATTGTAGTAGTGTGATTGTGTTTGTCATAAGCGGGGAGATGGCGGTCATAATAATTATGAAGGATGTTGTAAAATGTTTTTTTTTTTGTTTTTTTTTGGATACATGTTTTCCTGAGATTGTGTTGGGTGGAAGAAACGCATTTCGGGCCAATAGGAAATCCTTGAATCCGAAATCCCGGTCGTCCCAGAAAAGTGTGTTGCGATCTGAACACGTTTAAATGAGATTGTACGTGTTGTTTGTGTTCGGGAATTCCACGAGCCGCAACTTACACATCATTAGTCAGAATATGGACGCACCGAGGTGCGACCCTGCGCGGGGACGTTCATTCCTGTGTATGCTCTTCTTACAAAACGGATATGGCCTTGGAAGAACGATTTTTTGTCCAGATTGCTCTCAACGGTTCTTATGTTGTCAACATGGCACCCCGTGATAGCAATTAAAGCGGAAAATAACGCCTGAGTTAGTTGGGTTTTTTTAAGCACGAGTCACCTATTTTTGGAAATGATCTCTTTCCGGAAAAAAAATCCAATCCTCACCAGTTGTCCTTATTAGTTAAGATAATCGATGTTCTAATGTTTGTAGTTTAACAAAAAACAAGGGCAATTGAGTATATTCTATCCTCGTTTGAATTGTTGTCTCAAAAATACATCCCAAAAGCTGTCAGTGCCAGACATGAACGTATTGACCGACTTAATTGTATCAGATGACTAGAAAATAGGTCTTCGAACATCTTGTGTTCTGAATGCGATGGCGAACCGTTGTGTTGACGTGCGATGATTAACGTGGCGGCAGCCTGTGGAGCACGACAACACTAGAAGACCGGGTCAAAATGTCTGGTCATGTGGGATGGCCTTGCTGCTACCCCTTTCAAGGTAATATCTGTCATGTGAGCCTACCTTTTGTTACCATGGCAGTTCACGCGATCCTGAGACTGGGGTTATGGACGTCACGTGTCATTGAGACCGATCGTTGGTCCAGGACGTTCATTATGGCATAACGTCGTCAGCTGTTACGGTGCCTGGGTTGGGGGGTTGGGGTGTGGGGTTGAGATTGCTAGCTGACGTTGTGATTGAAGAGTTCTGGCCCATGTCGATGTTACAACCATTTTAAGGACGTAAAAGAGCGCATAGCGAACAAGAATTAAACAACCTTTTAAAAAAAAACGAAGTTTTTCTTTATAAATCCTCAATTAATTGCAATATCAAGCAATGGCGGGTCCAACTGAAAATTTGACATGACATGCATTCAAGTGATGCACTTTGTAAGAATCCAAATTAGTGCCTCCCCCCCCCCCTCCCCGGCCAACCCCGCACACACTCCCTTTTCAAGGCTCGTACCCGAATATTTTTTTCCACGCTATGTCAGTATTCAAAATTCCCACCCGCTTTTACACCGCAGATTTTATTTCACCAACTTTTCCCGTAAAACAAAGGAAAATGTTGCGGACCAAACGCACTTGCGATCGTTTTAAGAATCTCATTTAGCGTAGTAATCGTTGTTAAGGCGGGTGGGACATTAGAACATTGTGTTTTTTTTAAATGAATATAAAAAGATTTATACAAAAATTTATGTATTTAAGACTTCTTTAAAAACCGAAATTCTGAAAGTACAATTAAAATGTGGCGAAAAACCCTCAAGTGTTAAACCATTCCCAGCAGCATTTACTGACTTTTGTTCCTTGGCGCCGTTGTCCATGTTTAAGTTTTTTAAAAATCTTACATTGGCTCCGTTGTTGATAGGGTCCTCCCAAATCAGAACTCTCCTGTCCAGATGGTCGACAATGTCCAGCAGACGCTGACTGTAGTAGGACTCAAGGCGGCTGAAGTCTCCCCTGGTCATCCCTTGGTCGGCCATGAACGTGGTAATCTCAAGACTTGAATTCCTGGACGATAATGGTTTAATATAGTGTTTTCAATATATGCACTCAAGGGTTATGTGCACATATTCTAATAACTCTGTTGCCAAATAGAATGGGTCCAATTGACATGGGTTGTTATATTACACTCAACTATAAATGGAGCAAATGACATTGGTTGTGGTATTATACTCAACTATAAATGGAGCAAATTGACATTGATTTAAGCATTATACTTAACTATAAATGGAGCAAATTGACATTGATTTAAGCATTATACTTAACTATAAATGGAGCAAATTGACATTGATTTAAGCATTACACTTAACTATAAATGGAGCAAATTGACATTGATTTAAGCATTATACTTAACTATAAATGGAGCAAATTGACATTGATTTAAGCATTATACTTAACTATAAATGGAGCAAATTGACATTGATTTAAGCATTATACTCAACTATAAATATCCAATAAAAGTATGTGAACGACAACATTATCTAAACGAAATAAACTGCTACCTTTTTCATTATTCAAGCTTCACAGAGCGAACATTTCTTATAGCACACATTGCAACCAACATACCAACACATAACACAAGCAACATACCATCACATACTAAAACTAACATACCAGGACATATTACAACCAACACACCAGCACATATCACACCCAAAATACCAACGCAAACTACAACCGACATACTAACACATAACATAACCAACATACCAACACATATTACAACCAATATATCAACACATAACACAACCAATATATCAGCATATATTACACCAAACACACCAGCCCCTCATTACAACCAACATACCAACACATATAATGAGCTTCGTCCATTCCCATATGCAAAAACGTATCAACAAATGTCTCCTTGACCTCAGCAAAAAAGTCTGAGAGGAAATCGAAAGTAGAGTTCCGGGTTGGGTCAAAGTTCTCCCTCTCTGCATGCTGGGAATATACAGCCTTGAACTTTTCATCGTGGTCATAGCATGGCGTCAGGAGCTCTTGAGAGAGGGAGAGAGAGAGAGAGGGGGACGGAGAGGGAGTGAGAGGGTTCCGTTTTATATAACCGATAGTGTGACACATTTGCACGTAGACGGTTATTTAGTCGTATGGTTATCGGTTGGTGTGAATCTTATGGTTACAACTTGGCAAGTTTTGGGTTGTAAATGACCTTAGTTGTTTGTATATTTCGCTAGATTACCAAAGCAATTCTCACTGCTTGCTTGGTTTCATCACCAATTACTATCTAATGCATACTGACATCCGCTGTCATCTTTGAAATGAATCGCATAAGGGTATACGGTGTGTTATACCACCCCATCCCTCGGGGGGGGGGAGATACCCCCCCCCCCCAGCCTTGGACTTGGTAAATTGTGTGTGTGGATCATGACAGTATGGTAATGTCCATTGGGGGTTAAATGGGTGTTCATTTTGAATATAAGCAATAAAAAAAAGATTACAGTTAAAAATTGCTTAAGCACTGTTGACTATTCAATGATTATATTGATTACAAAGTATTCAATTTTCAAATTTTCCAGCAAATTAAATTATGAAATCCTGTGATTAAAAAAACAACAACAACATTATTTTTTTTGTTGGCCAATAATTTAAATTTTGGCATCATTTCTTCAAATTCCCCGTTTGTTGACAAGTTAGCGTGCATATGCGGTCATAACACTTCTCGTTCCATCTTAGAGGGTTGAAATTCATTTCCCAGGCATACAGTTCAATATTTTTTTTCCATCCTAACAAAAATCTTCGTACCCCCCCCCCCCCAAATGAACAAAGATATAATAACAAAATATTGTTTGCTTGTATTTTTTCTTTTCCTCATTTTAGATTTTTGTCTGGCGAAATAGTCAGGAACATGGGATTATATCCCCCCCCCCCACACCCAACCCAGGCTAGGGGCAACTGCTCCCCCCCCCCACTTTCCAGACGCCCCTGATACATTTCAAGGTGTCTGGGCATAACTTCTTAAGAGGGTTTGTCATTTCTCAGACCAGAAATATTTTTAGAACGTCGGACAAATAACGGTTACAACATGGCAGCCAATAGTGTGTTTCAGCTAATAGTGTGTTTCAGCTAATAGTGTGTTTCAGCTAATAGTGTGTTTCAGCATACCGTTCGGTCGATCCTTGCATCAAGAGTCACTGTGACATATGCCGTACGCGCAGTGACGTCCCATTTCACAAAAAAAGCAGTAAAAAAAATTGTGTAAAATATTTCGTAAAATAGAGTTGTAAACATGTTTTGATTAAGGTTAAGGGCCACTTCGCTAACACAGTAGCGCTGAACAGTGTTGGCATTTTGTCCGACCCAAGTACCCGGATGATTACAGCAGTTCTAATAATAGATTTCCGCCATTACATGACAAGCCCTGTACTCAAAAGTCTATTCATTGGTGGAGATGTCCCACTAATCGTGCACTGACTATTATCCTCGCTCAGTTATCATTTCCTTATCAAGCACCTCAAGCACTTTAAGATTTAAACAGATGTCGGACACTGGTTCCAGTGCCACTAGAAAAAAAATAAAAAAATCTTAAGGGTCCTTGACGACACACACACACACATACAACTCTATCTACACAGACATGGCGTTACCTGGATAAGCTTTACCCCAGGAGTGCGCATGTCCGGGTGTGTCGAACTCGGGTAGAATGCGTACGCCGCGGAGTCTGGCGTACCGGATGATGTCCCTGACGTCTGCGCGTTTGTACACGTGTCTGGGCGAGTAGGCTCCCTGGACGGTAGATATTTCAGATTGGGTAACGCATCCCTGTCGTTTATCATCACAGTCCCATTAAGTTGGCCCTAAATTGGGACGACGTCTGCTAGTGTCGATGCGTGGTTGATAAAACCAAAAATACTAGCATTTGTACCCGGCAGAGGCGTAGCGAGGCTGTTTGGCGCCCGGGGACAAGATTCGCGCCCGGAGACAAGATCCATTTTAAAGCCCCCTTTTTCTTTTTTTCAAATCTCAAACCCATTATTTTCATCAATAAAATAATATCAAAGCACATTTTGGCGCCCCTCATTAGCTGGCGCCCGTGGACATCTGTCCCCCCTGCCACCCCCTCGCTACGCCTCTGGTACCAGGCGAGGACGAGAATGTTCAAATCTTTCAATGCATGTAAGCGAATCGTGATGTTTAAATCGGGTGGGAAGGGGAATAGAAGCTTTTACTGGAATTACTACGTTCTGTAAGTTAAGTTATAAATGTGTTAGAAATCGCATAATTAATTGATCCCCCCCCCCTTACCTGAAGTGTTAAATTTGGGAACGTTGTGCTCTCGTATGGGAAGGACTGTGCGTCAACGATGTGCCAGTGGAAGACGTTGAGTTTGTTGGTGGACATGACATCCTGGGGGATAGAGTCACAGCTAGAGTGGACATGACATCATGGGGGATAGAGACACATCTAGAGTGGACATGACATCATGGGGGATAGAGTCACAGCTAGAGTGGACATGACATCATGGGGATATAGTCACGGTTATAGTGGACATGACATCATGGGGGATAGAGTCATGGCTACAGTGGACATGACATCACGTGGGATAGAGTCACAGCAAAAGTGGACATGACATCATGGGGGAAAGAGTCACGGTTACAGTGGACATGACATCATTGGGAAAGAGTCACTGTTACAGTGGACATGGCATCATTGGGGATAGAGTCACGGTTATAGTGGACATGACATCATGGGGGATAGAGTCACGGTTACAGTGGACATGCCATCTTGGGGGATAGAGTCACGGCTAGAGATGATATGAAGTCATGGGGGATTGAAACAGAGCTAAAGTAGACATGACATCCTTTATAGATTTTCATGGGAGATGATCTTCTGGGGGGGGGGGATAGACATGGATATGTCCTACTGGGAAATTGAGGATTGTTTTAGACTGGTTACTCCCATTTACTCCACAACAGACGGGTCCTTTGAGTTTAATTCCAGCCCTGGGAACTAGTTATTGCCTAAAAATATCTGGGTACAAAGATAAATTGCATAGACTAACTATGTTGTGGTTTTAATTTTTATTAAGTCAAATATCCCAAATAATTATTTTTGTGAACCATGGAACTAAACACGGCCGTGAGAGACGTTACGCTGATAATCACTTATAGGGACTCATTATACAAGTAGTTGTATTGTTGAGGGCTTATTTAACAACTCATTGCAGTTATTAGCCTATACATGTTCCACTATCAGTAATATATTTGTTGGTAGGTCGTAAATAAACAAATGCAAATCTATGAGATTCCCATGTCTATAATAAAAACACAAAGAAAACATTGACCTACATTCTCTCATCATTTCTTACCAAATTTTTCTTAATAGCGTCAACGCTGTAAAAATGACGGGCGGTGTCCAGGTGTAGCCCTCTGTGTGAGAACCGCGGCTTGTCATGGATTACCGCTTTGTTAATGAACCACTGACATATGAAAAAAAAATAGAACCATCGTAAGCTGTTTTTCAGTGAAGTATTCACAGCTTATGAAGTATTCACAGCTTATGAAATATTCACAGCTTATGAGATATTCACAGCATATGAAGTATTCACAGCTTATGAAATATTCACATCATATGAAGTAGTCACAGCTTATGAAGTATTCACAGCTTATGAAATATTCACAGCTTATGAAATATTTACAGCTTATGAAATATCCGCAGCTTATGAAATATCCACAGCATATGAAGTAGTCACAGCTTATGAAATATTTACAGCATATGAAGTAGTCACAGCTTATGAAGTATTCACAGCTTATGAAATATTCACAGCTTATGAAATATTTACAGCTTATGAAATATTTACAGCTTATGAAATATCCACAGCCTACTCACATCCTCTGAAGAACTCACCCTTGTTTATTGATTTCTTCTCAATGTCTCATGAGACTTTGTTTAATTCTTTTATCAAAGACTACGACAGCTACTTCAAGCAGATATCAATTCACGAGGGTTCTTTATTCCAGGGGTGGGTAAGTATTTGTAAACAGTGAAGCAGCATCATGCATGTCGAGGTCATTCAGTGTGGGATACAAAAGTGGTTCAACAAAGAACACCTTTTTTATACAGCCCACTACCGACAATCATAGCTTTAAATGGTCAGTCTTCTCAATCAGGCTGAAACAATCTGTCCACTAGATTGAAACAATCACTCTTATTCCATTGCGCCAAGCTTCAACTTATATTGGAAAAGTCTTCACAGTGTGTCAACAACACCTCTGTAGATGTTATGTGGTCGCTCATCCAAGTGAATTATATTACAGTGACATCACATTACCATATAGTACAATAACATCCCAGTACCGTATAGTACAGTAACATCCCAGTACCATATAGTACAATAACATCCCAGTACCGTATATGCAGTAACATTCCAGTGTCATACATTACAGTAACATTCCAGTGAATCATATTACAGTAACATCACAGAACGATATATTACAGTAACATCACAGAACGATATATTACAGTAACATCACAGAACGATATATTACAGTAACATCCCAGTACCATATAGTACAATAACATCCCAGTACCGTATATGCAGTAACATTCCAGTGTCATACATTACAGTAACATTCCAGTGAATCATATTACAGTAACATCACAGAACGATATATTACAGTAACATCACAGAACGATATATTACAGTAACATCACAGAACGATATATTACAGTAACATCACAGAACGATATATTACAGTAACATCACAGAACGATATATTACAGTAACATCACAGAACGATATATTACAGTAACATCACAGAAGGATATATTACAGTAACATCACAGAACGATATATTACAGTAACATCACAGAACGATATATTACAGTAACATCACAGAACGATATATTACAGTAACATCACAGAACGATATATTACAGTAACATCACAGAACGATATATTACAGTAACATCACAGAACGATATATTACAGTAACATCACAGAACGATATATTACAGTAACATCACAGAAGGATATATTACAGTAACATCACAGAACGATATATTACAGTAACATCACAGAACGATATATTACAGTAACATCACAGAACGATATATTACAGTAACATCACAGAACGATATATTACAGTAACATCACAGAACGATATATTGCATTAACATCCCAGTGTATTATATTACAGTAACATTACAGTACCACATATAGTACAGTAACATCCCAGTAACATATATTACATTAACATCACAGTACCATATAGAACAGTAACATCACCGTACCATATATTAGAATAATATTCTATTACCCTATATTGCAATAACATCCCAGTACTATATATTACAATAACATTCTAGTACCATATATAACAATAACATCCAAGTACCGTATATTACTAACATCCCAGCACCAAATTTTTCAGTAACATCGCAGTACCACATTTTTCAGCAACATCGCAGTACCACATTTTGCAGTAACATCGCAGTACCATATATTATAGTAACATCCCAGTACCATATATTATAGTAACATCCCAGTACCATATATTACAGTAACATCCCAGTACCATATATTACAGTGACATCCCTGCACTACACTTTTCATTAACATTGTAGATTTCAAAGAGGAGTTATTTTCAAACATAATTAAAATAGCATTCTATGCCAGAATTCTCCTGAGGCCAAAGGGAAATCGATAATATCTACTCTCCACTTCCTGAAACTTAACTCCAGCCCCCACACCGCACATGTCCATTAAGGTCATCGTTACCAGAGGATTACCTTTCCGTTGACCATGTACATGAGCTGACCCAGTGTCTCGAATCCTGCAATAAAACGAAAAAAACAAATCTATTGCAAAGAAGGGTGTCTGTCTACATTTTGAAACCTTAAAAGGCCCGTGTTAAATTTATGAGACGGTAAATATCACTAAGACTTGTAAAATATGACATTAAAATATAACATGAAAAATATGACCTGATAAATATGACCTGGTAAAATTGACATGGTTAACACGATATATATAAAACATGATATCTAAAATATGACATGTAAAATATTATATCTAAAATATAACATGTAAAATATTATATCTAAATCATGATATCGAAAATATATCTAAACTATGATATATAATATATAACATGTAAAATAATATATGTTAAATATGGCATATCAAAATGACATGTAAGGAAAGGATTGTCTAATTGCGTTGTTCAAAATTGTAAAATGTGTTTCCATGATTTACAACCAAAAAAAAAAGTCTTTTATTTTTCTAAATATAAATAATTAAATATGAGTTACTACCTATACTAATAAATTTTTACCAGCAACTTTATACCAGTAACTTTATACCGTAATTGTTTACCAATAACTCTATACCGTGAATTTTTACCAGTAACTTTATACCAGTAACTTACTACCGTAAATTTTTACCAGTAACTTTATACCAGTAACTTTATCCCGTAAAATTTTTTCATTAGCTTTACACAAGTAACTTTTTACCAGTGACTTTGTACCAGTAACTTACTACCGTAAATTTTTACCAGTAACTTTATACCAGTAACTTACTACCGTAAATTTTTACCAGTAACTTTATTCCAGTAACTTTATCCCGTAAAATTTTATCATTAGCTTTACACAAGTAACTTTTTACCAGTGACTTTGTACCAGTAACTTTTTAAAGCTCCTAGCCAATAAATCTAGTACCAAGGTTACAACATAAACATGAGCACCCTACACAACATCACACACATCACTCCAAACAGAGGTAGACGAATACATACATTATACTGACCCCAGTCAGCACCCCACACAACATCACACACATCACTCCAAACAGAGGTAGACGAATACATACATTATACTGACCCCAGTCAGCACCCCACACAACATCACACACATCACTCCAAACAGAGGTAGACGAATACATACATTATACTGACCCCAGTCAGCACCCCACACAACATCACACACATCACTCCAAACAGAGGTAGACGAATACATACATTATACTGACCCCAGTCAGCACCCCACACAACATCACACACATCACTCCAAACAGAGGTAGACGAATACATACATCATACTGACCCCAGTCAGCACCCCACACAACATCACACACATCACTCCAAACAGAGGTAGACGAATACATACATAATACTGACCCCAGTCAGCACCCCACACAACATCACACACATCACTCCAAACAGAGGTAGACGAATACATACATCATACTGACCCCAGTCAGCAACCCACACAACATCACACACATCACTCCAAACAGAGGTAGACGAATACATACATTATACTGACCCCAGTCAGCACCCCACACAACATCACACACATCACTCCAAACAGTGGTAGACGAATAAAAACATCATACTGACCCCAGTCAGCACCCCACACAACATCACACACATCACTCCAAACAGTGGTAGACGAATAAAAACATCATACTGACCCCAGTCAGCACCCCACACAACATCATACTGACCCCCACACGAACCACGCACATCACCCACACACAGTGGTGGATTTACCTTAACAATACCTACCCCACACAACACCCCACACTGATGACGCCTGAAGAGAAACATCTGCCCCGATCACCATATCATCTTGTCATCGCCATGTCAGGAGGAAAAAAAAAATCATATTTCAATAAGACTGAACAAAATTCTTTGCATCTCGATCATCACATGACAGATGACATGTCTGCCAAGTTTTCGTACTCCTTGCTAAAAGAAAGGTCATTTTACTTAAATAAGGTCACACTAACTCCTTATAATCGCAATTCCGATGTTTAGTTCAATTTTTATAACGAACAAGATTTAGGGTTTTTTTCCACATCCTTTAAAAATATTTTAAAAATTGTTTTTGAAAAAAGTGTGTCCCCACCATCCTTGTTAGAATTCGGAGAGTTAAACAACGACGCAGTAATTTGTTTAACCAAGTTAAACCAAGGATGCTACATCGGGGTTAGAAGTAACGTCTTCGAGTGACTGCATAGGAGGATCACAGGAGTAGGTGATCGAACGTATGGACTCGTCGCTGGTTTTTGACAGTGTTCTCGTTCTCTTAAACAGTCGTATCATTCTTTCGACGGTCTCATCGTTCTTTTTGACAGTCTTATCTTTCTTTTTGACAGTCTTGTCTTTATTTTTGACAATATTGTCTTCATTTTTGACAGTATTGTCTTCATTTTTTATAGTATTGTCTTCATTTTTGACAGTATGTCTTAATTTTTGACACTGTTATCGTTCTTTTTGACAGTATTGTCTTCATTTTTGACAGTATTGTCTTCATTTTTGACAGTATTGTCTTCATTTTTGACTGTATTGTCTTCATTTTTGACTGTATTGTCTTCATTTTTGACAGTATTGTCTTCATTTTTGACACTGTTATCGTTCTTTTTGACAGTATTGTCCTCATTTTTGATAGTCTTGTCTTTATTTTTGACAGTATTGTCTTTATTTTTGACTGTATTGTCTTCATTTTTGACAGTCTTGTCCTACTCCAACACCCAACTCCTACCCTCCCTACTTCATTGTGTCTAACCAATATCATAAAAGAGTATCACAACTCACAATCTTCTTGGGCTCCATACTGAGGAAATTCTGGGCATGTTGTGTCCTTGACCTCAACGCGAACGACGTGAAGTGAACCTAGCGCGACAACTTTACTGCTGTTTCTGGGTTTCTCATCCCCTTCCGGTTGGTCAGGATCGCCTGGAGAGGTCCCAGATTCGACGTTTCTCAAGCGCTGGACGAACCTCTGGTAGGCGTCATGGACGATGTCACAAGAGGTGTCCGAGCTCAAGGTCAGACGATCCGTTACAAACGTCCAGACCGCGTCTTCCGGTTTCCATTCCTCGGGCATGGGCCAGGGACTGCCGGGACGAGGTCGACGACCCTGTGACGGAAGTGCGACATCAAGTTTCACAACACGTCAAGTGAAAAAAAAGGGTGATAATGTTGTGTGTCAGACAAAGCAGTTTGAGATTTGTGTGGTTTGAAATGTTGTATGTTCTTGGGTTAATTTTTTCATGAACCAGGAAACAACTGAACACATATTCATTGAATCACCGATGCATTGATCCATGTTTACAAACGAATCGATGATCAGAAGTTATACAATTAAATTAAAAAAATAAAGATATCACAACAAAAAAAAACAACAAACAAACAACAACACACACAAAAAACCCAACCAAAAAAAAAACACAACAACAAAAAAATGGCAAATTATTTGCTATAAAATTTGTCGAACGATTGTAATCCCACAGTCTTAGTGACATCCGTTGGCTGAATGATTTGAAGAGTTGTGCCATAATCTAGTTGTACGAAACTACTTTCCAATGATATCGTTTGCCGTCATGGCATCTCTTATGGTTAGTATTATCAGAGCATAGAAATTAGGAAAAGTTGCGAGAAATGCTCACGAAGAATCGAACCCCCCCCCCCCCNNNCCCCCCCCCCCCCGGAGTCCAAGCTCCACCTTCCCAACCGTTAACGTGGTGCTCAAGACCGGAAGTCTTCCTGAAAACTTATTTTGATGCCTGAGTCAGAGCGGCACCAGGCCCCCCCCCCCCAATTTCCACCCCACAAAGGTAATTTGGGCAACTCTTTGTGGGAATTGACCGAAAATAGCCCCATTCAGGGCATACGTAGCCAGGAGACATTTTGGATAATGGCTCCCTCGAGTGGTAATCTCTCTCCCCACCGCCCCCCCACGCTGACCACCCTGGCCTGTTATGGGTGTGCGTGTGGCACCATCCTCATATCAACTAATCCTCGTCCTAAGGAAAAGTCCCAGCCGCCACGGTGTGGCCCAGTTCCAAAGGTTTCTATCCGGGTTATTGCGGCCAAACAGCAACTTGGTCTGAAAACCGGAGCCTTTCTGCTCGCGTAAAACCAGCTGTGTTCATTATCCAGTGATTCTCTCTAGCTTTTGGAATAAGATTCTTCTTCTGGTTCCAGTTGAGTCACCCTCTTTACACTACATCCTTACGAAAGCTCCTTTCTTTGCAAATGAATGGTAATTTTTTTTTTTAAAAGGGGGGGAGGGGGAGAGACTGCAGTCAGGTTATAGGCATAGGCAAAAGGAAACGAGTGAAATGAAAAAGCTCATTTCATTTTGAGGATGATGACACTTTTCTGACGTCTTGTTTTTTTCCACATCAATATTTCCACATCAATATTTCCACATCAATAATTCCACATCAATATTTCCACATCAATATTTCCACATCAATATTTCCACATCAATATTTCCACATCAATAATTCCTCATCAATATTTCCACATCAATATTTCCACATCAATATTTCCTCATCAATATTTCCACATCAATATTTCCACATCAATATTTCCACATCAATATTTCCACATCAATATTTCCACATCAATATTTCCACATCAATATTTCCACATCAATATTTCCACATCAATATTTCCACAGCAATAATTCGACAGCAATATTTCCACAGCAATAATTCCACATTAATATTTCCATAGCAATAATTCGACAGCAATATTTCCACAGAAATAATTCCACAGCAATAATTCCACAGCAATAAATCGAAATTTTAAAAATTCAGACATTTTCGATATTCAAATTGATAAAATATTTTACAAACATCACGAATAGTGTTTAAATATAAAACAAAAAATTGCTCTACAATTAATTTTTACAAAAATTGAAAAATGTTTGAAAGACATTTCCGTACACAACCAATTATTGTTTGCCTAAATGTACCAACCTGCAATGGAAGCCTCTCAGCGATAAAGTCGACCTCCGAACTGACCAATGACCAAACAGCGACAAAGGCAACTAACACGATGGTTATTTCGTTTCGCGACATGTTTTAAAAAAAAATTATTTTTTTTTTTAAATTGTAAGATTCTTTGTTCTGGTTGTATTCGTTATTCACTTCCTACACGATGGCCAATCTTGATACGTTAGAGCAGTTGGCGCAGTTTGATACGTTAGAGCAGTTGGTGCAGTCTTTATGTACGGATAGTTCTGGAAGTCATTGAAATAACGGGTGGCGTCTTTCTTATCAGCATGGCTCTGTCTGTAGTAGCACGAGGAGGCTCATGCACTCTTATATGGAAAGATACCAAGCGGCATTTCCTGTGCAGACTGTGATAAAAAGTAGAGTAGAGTTGGATGCACTTTCGGTTGAAGTGAATGTTTAAAGACGATGCTGAAATGTGTCACATTGTTTTTCAATTGTGATAAAATCAGGAAAATTAACACATGTAACAGTAGTTTTGTTTTTTTCCCACTCGATCCATAATTTGAAACACATTCTTCCCGGTACGGCCTTTCGTGTAGGGTTAGGCTTGTCTCGCCCCCCCCCCCCCCCCCCCCCCCCCCC